GGCACGCAGCAGCGGTGCTGTGCCTTGACCACATCTCTGAGGTGTGATTCACCGGAGGCACGCTCTTAAGAGAAAACCGTTGTGAGCAGTATAACAATTATCACCTTTCAAGATTTTTTTTTTTTCTCCTTTTTGGATTCCATAATCCCTTTTTATCCCTTTTTTGGGAGAGGATCATTTTCAGCTGGGTCAATAATAAACCGCCACGGAGTGAGGGGATGCTGCGCCTGCCCTGCTTTCTGTGCCGCAGGTAGGCTTAAACTTATTCCTGGGAAGGCACACGTCCACATTTAGACCTCATCGAGGAAAAATCAGAGAGAACAGAGGCTGGAGTGGAAACAGCAGCTCCCCCTGACCCTCCTGCCCCTGCTGAGTTTTACAGAGAGTTAAGATATAGCCACACAAGGGATCTCCGCTGTGTCCAGGCAGGACCTGTGGCTGCTGCCAGAGCTCAGGGCAGTTGCATATCAAAACCCGACAAGGCTTTTGCATTGTACTGATACCTCACGGTCATGGGGATCACTGGACTTCTTGGTTCACCAACCCCAGCTGCCGACGCATTGGTCCAGGCACAGTGTCTCTTCTGACACAGCCCCAGTCACGTCCAGCCATCTCATCATTGATTTCCCCACCCCCTGTATTATATGTATGTGTTTATTTATTTAACGATATGTTGGTCCGGCCATTAAAAGCACAAAGCACTTTCTCCAATCGATTGTACTGCCCAGCGAACTTCAGTTAAGTGTTGCCCTCTGACTCATCACCAGGGTCAATTTAGATTTATATTCATGCTGATGAATAGGTTCTGCCTCTAATCTAATGAAAACTTGATCAGCAAATTAAAACTCAGCTTGTTGAGGGTGTTGAGCACAGGTGAGTTATGGAGGGAAGCCTGCCGTCGGTGTTCCCTCTCCCTCTGGCATGGAGCATTGTTCTGCCCCAATGCCTGGCAGCAAGGGGGAGGAAGCAGGAGGTATATGGGCCAGAGAATTTTCCATTTAAAACTCATCCCTTTATTCATAAATAAAATCTGAGCTGATGCAGAAGAGAAAGATGCCTTTTGCCTTCTCTAGCACCTTCACCTGATCTTCCTAAATTGACCCCCAGAACTGCCTGATGAATTGGGAAGTGGTTACACCTCTTCTTCCTGGGAAACCTGAGATTTTCACCCAGGGACTGCATTACTAGACCACACACCGCGACTGTCACCTGATTTTGCAAGTCCCTTGCTTATTCCAATGACATTCACATGCTTTATGCTGATGAGGACAGTTACTCTGTATTTTGATGGCACCGTTACCTTTCCTAGAGGCTAATTTGCTTGGATGTCCCATTACCTGCAAATTGGATAGGTACGATCAATATTTGTGATTCTGGGAACGTCTGGCTGGTGCAGAAGTGCCTGGAGGGGATGGCACATTGCAAAGGCAGGAGGTGAGATTGAAAGATGATTGGAGAGGGAGGCTGAATGTGCAATGCGTTGCTATTAGACCAGTGAGGCCTTTCTGCGTTCAGAGCTGGATCACAGCCCAAAATGGGACCAGGCTTTTGGAACACCAGATTTTGCCAGTAAGAGATGATATCTGTGCGTATTAAATTTAAGCCTACCAGCTATCTTAAGAGCCAAGGAAGTGTTTCTTATCACTGGAGGGGAGGTGGTGTAGAGGGTTGTTAATGGAGCAGAGCAGTTCTGACATTATCCCCTCCCACTTTCCCTCTTAGACCACCTTGCATCTAGCATTTGTGGTCCTCTGCTAAACTTTTCATGAAAGGTCATCACCCAAAGAGAAACGCCGAATGAAGAGGAAAGGGCTTCGTAAGCGTCGCTGGGAGCACGTGGAGGTGACACCTGGTGAAGTGCTTGGGAAGAACATTTCTTTCAACGTAGTCACTAAGACTGGGGAAGGAAGATGGATGGAGTTACCAAGGAAATGAGAAGTCATTGTGTGTCACCCTGTTACTCATTCGGTACCCACAGCTCACCCCTCGGCTGAAAGGTTGTGCATTGAAGTCCTTCACAGGGACTTGGGATCATTGCTCTTAAAATGAGGAAGGTGCATGGACCTTAAAATATATCATAGCCTGTCAGCTAAAATTGGAGCAGAGGAATCTCTTTAGTCTTGACAGGTCCAAGAAAGGTGTTTGACTGTATCAGAACCTGAACTTCTAAGGACTTGAATGATTAGAAAGGTGTGGCTTTCTGGTGTAGATGCTGGAAGCCCTGATGCAAGAATTGCAGTAAGGCAGCTGCTGGGGTAAGATCATCACAGGCTGAATTGAGGCACATTGCACTAATGACAGCTTCTGTTCATCTCTAGGAGCATGGAGATCATCAACACAGATCCCGTAGGGCAACAGGGCGGTACCTACCCCACCATCTTCCATCCTGTACCTCCTGCTTTTCGTAGGGACTGCTTCTTCAAGATCTTGATGACTGGGCTGACCTCAGTACCACCAAGTGCTGGAGATGCAGGATGTCTCCAGAGGAATCCAGCACTGGATCTTTCAGAAGAACTTTGCACGACTCAGTGACCTGTGCTAGAGCATTCCCAGCTGGAAAGCCTGGCTGGGGCACCTTTACTTCTCCTGATCCATAGGTTTGGACGCACCTCCTGCCCAGTGTTGCCAGCCAGGCACCAAAAGTAGGATTGACAGGTCTCCTACCTAATGACCAGAAGTGGAAGAGCCTGGGCTGATGGGCTCTGACTGTAGCTGTTCTGGACAGGCAAGGCTACGCCTTTGGGCTCACGGGGCTTTACTTGCAGCCCAGCCTCGCTCTTGCTTTCCATTTTGCTGCAGCCATAGAGGTCAGTGGTAAAGGTCATGCAGTGTCCCTTTCTACGAGGCAACACGTTGGACTTGTGAAGTGGAAGTGAGTCTGGAGCTAGGCTTGTGCTGAAAAGCCCTTGCTAGCAGTGCTAAAGGACTTTTAGGATGAGTGTTGTGCCCCATGCCTTATTGATGCTCCTGAGGTGGTCCAGAAGGACCTACAGGCTTGTCATGTGGCTGGAGAGATGGCAGTCCCATGTAAGGTGTCCTCACTGGTGTGGCCTTCAGGAGCAATGCAGCAGGGCAGTGTAGACACACCTTTTCTGAACGTGGAGGGGGAGATTGGTATCAGCATCTTTTCCCTGGCAGCACACTGTCTGTGCCAGGAGAACTGAGGGTGACACAGTAAGGTTACATCTTGCTGGAACTGCGCTGAGGGTAGCAGATGATCCCACACACTGACCCTTGCACCAAGACCAAAGCTGGTGGACGAGCTGAAAGAAAATTCAGGCTGCTTGGAGGGATTGGAAGGGTAGAGAGTGAGCACATCTACGATGTGAGGCTACTTAGGGCTTCACGTCCTCCATTGCCGACGTCCATAATATTTGATCCCCGTCCTTAGTGCCAGTCCTAAACCATCAACTATCTAATTTGATCATGGGTGTGCAACTCAAACCATTCGAGAAAATCTTCTGTGTAACGTGCTCCTGACTACATTGAAGTGGTGCACAGTCCTAGCTGGTAGTTGCTGTTTGATGGATAAGATCCAGTGCAGCTCAACCTCAATATTTTAGAGCAAAGGGCGCTGTTGAAATGCAGATATAAGTGAACTCTGTCTGCTCACACAGGAGATGGCGGGGGGATCTCCTGGCTTCCAGCCTGGTGCTTTGCTCACTAGAAGTAACTTTGTACGTGGTGAAGAGCATACCAGTGCCAGTAAGGAGCTGGCCTCTCTTGTACCGTATTCAAAGAATAAAATAACCACCTTTTATTCCACTAATGCATTTATGGGGTAAATGGGAGAGGAGCTTAAGTTTAATTCTAAATGTGACTTGACAAGACACAGCCTGCAGATACATGTCAGTCAGGCTGCAGTGCCCGTCGCTGTCAGCCCATGAGCCATGTCACCAGTGATGAATGCTAGCTAACGAGTTAGTGTCTAGTTGTCATGGAAAGCTTGAACCCTGGAAAAAAAATTAAGAATTAACTGGCTTCAAGCTGCTTTCAGAGGTGGTGAGAAATCTAATTCTTGCCTGATGATTGTTTGGGCTCGGAAGCAGAGATGGAGGACTTCCACACCAACACTGCCTTGTGTGTCTCCTGTTAATCCGTCCTGCTGCAGCGCGTTGATAACTTCACAGGTCTGGAGACTGAAAGCCTCGGTCCTGGCACGTAGGAGAGCTGTAGTCCGGGCTGTCCTGCCTGTCTCGCCACGCTGGTCAGCCCCAAGAGGACCTGCCTCTCCAGTGGGTCCTGCAGCTGCAATATAAAATAATGGGGAAGTTCTAGACAAATCCAGAGGATAAATCTCTTTCAGGAGTGGTGGCAGCTGCTGGGCTGGATGCAGATCATCAGGCTGTCTTCAGTGGTGATCTCATACAAATTGTCTGGTTCTCAGAGACGGTGATTTGCCTGAACTTCATGCAGCAGTCAAATGCTTTTCTTCCAGAACCCCATATAATTAATGCAGTTGAAATTTATTTTTTGAAATGCTGAGGTCGGTGCTTTGTCTTGTGAGTCAGAAAGAGGCAAAGAAGGACTAGCTGTCTCTCATAGCGGCTGTGGGCGCCTGTTCACGGGTGGCTTCCACTGGCTGCATGATGTAGAGGCACCGCTCATGTGAATGCTGTGAACTGCAGGGCCCTGGCTGTGCACTGACTGCGGCTGGGGACAATTTCCACCACTGATCCAGACCTACAGAGTTCTAGGATTCCCATGGCAGACTGGGAGTATGAGCCATGCTCAGAGCCTGTTCTGCGCAGGTTGTCGTGGGAGGGCTGTGCTTCCCTCCAGTGTCACCCCTGCCTCCAGTGCCTCCCACATCTAACTGGTTTCAGACTATGCTGGTGTGGTTTGTTTGTTGAAATGTTCAGTTAAGGTTGTTGGTTTAACTTTCCTTCACTAGCTGGGAATGGTTGAGGAGGGCTTTCTGAGCACTGTCTCCCTTCTCAGTCTCTGAAGGACTTCAGTTACTCACGTTCTCCCTCTGCCTTATTTCTGATTTGTAACAGTGTGGTGAAGATCCTGCTCGCGGCTAAAGCAGATCCAAACCTTGGAGATGATTTCAGCAGCGTGTATGAGACTGCCAAGGAAAAAGGCCTCCATTCTTTGGAAGGTAAAATCGTTTGTGTGCAGCTACCTGCATTTGCTTTTCAGGTCCCAAAATTTTGTTTCCTGGCTTTGAAATGGAAATATGACCTCATTTTTTTTTTTTTTTAGAGCTAATTTCAGCTTCCATTTAAATGCAAAGTAACTGGTGGTACGTGGGTAAGTGTATGTCTGAAGATGAGAGAAAACACTATGTAGATGTTTATGGGAAGCAATCCTTCACCATCCTAGAGATAACCTGCTTTTATGTAGCCAGAACATAACACAAAGTTGTAGATAGAAGCATCATCCCATTGACCCTCATGCAGCCTCTTGCTGGGGAAGGAGAAGGGTTCACGGCAGTGCATTCCACTGGTAGCTTTAATCTGGGTCTTGTAAGGAGATATAAAGTTAAGAAAGACTTGTCCAATCGAAATAAAGGTGAATGATGTAACAGGTTGCAATTACTGCTGCTGGTTTGGGGGCAGGCATTAGCGCTAGCTTTCAGCCCTTGAAGTCCTTACATGAAAATAAGGACATTTTCTGCAGTGTCATTTCATCTTGTTATGACTTTTCTTGGCCAGTGTCTCAGGTTCCAGTCTCACCCTAACGTTACCCCCGTTGCTGGGATGTTGATGCAGACGTAGATTCACAGAATCGCAGAAGGGTTTGGGTTGAAGGGATGTTTCAAGGTCGTCTAGTCCAACCCCCTGCCATGGGCAGGGCCATCTTCAACAAGAAGAGGTTGCTCTGAACCTTGCTCTGTTTATTCTGACCAATTTCAATTTCCCAGACTGTTTCCACTTTTTATGACAACAAATAGTGGTTACGTTTTCTTGGGTTTGTGATTATCAGTGGAACCTAAGGGGCGATCTCTATATCCTTGGTGCCCAGCAGAGAGGCCAGCTGCATGTTCCACGGACACTTCTGGTCCCCAGGCTCTCAGCTCCCGGGCTGGCAGGAACGCTGTCAGGACTTGACCCCACTAAAATGTCCCCAGCTTCTGCCTTCCCCGTGCCAGAAGCCTCCTCCCCATCCCGGCGCCTCGCTGACCCGCCGGGCTGGGCCCTGAGCTGGCAGATCATGGATGGTGTCCCAGCCGTCCCCATCGCCCTGCCAGAGCTCTGCCCGCCTTCCCGGGAAGTGCTGCATCCCCAGGGACTGCATTTCTGTCCTCTGACCTTCTGCTTTGAAGGTAAACCTTTTCCTAGCTGCTGTCAGGAGAGAATTGGAGGAAGCAACATGGGTTGTCCAGAGCTCTGTTTGCCCTGCGTGGTTTGCAGAGCCAAAATCGGGTGGTGACTTTATCCATCGGTCTGTCTGTGCCTTTTGCCTCGCCGCCAAGAGCTGAAAGCTATATAAAGTCTAATGAAGGTGTAATATTTGAACCTTTCATAAAACACAGGTTGAGTTAAGAAGATGAATCAGTGAGGGGACAGTTTTGACAGGGCGTTATTTTATTTTTAAAAGCTCTCCTCTCTCATCCCTCACTGTAACCCACCCGTGCCATAGACCTGCTCCTTGATGGAAGTGAGAACACGCATCTATCAGATCGCTGTAGCAGCAAATGCAAAATGTATGAAACAACATTAAAAAATGAACAATGGAATGCCAATACATAATGCATGTACATAGACTTTATTTAAGACAAAGTATATCAACCAGTAAAGTTAATTGTTTTGTCTGCGTTCATCCCTCTATAATGTTATATATTTTTGGGGTGAAGAAAAGATAAGGCCACTCAGTAAGAAGTTGCATTAATTCTTTGGTTGACATGTTTTATTAAAAAGAATAAATTCAGTTGCATTTTTAAGAAGAGAGGGAGAGAGAGAAACTGCCTTTGTTTTTTACTTTTTTTTACACATTTACATATTTCGTGTATAAATATTTTTTCATAAAAACATCCAAATCGAGAGGGTATGCTCCACAAACACTGCACAAAATATATTACAGACATTTATATGGATGGCAGGAAGGGAGACAGAGGGCTGAAAATTTCCAGGCACCCAGTGATTGATGGTAGACGAGGCTTCCCCTGACGCTTTATTGAGTTTCCGATGATTATCTCTCTCTGAGACATTTTTTACAGATGACGGCCGAGCTGTCACAACGGACCATGGGGGAAAAAACCCAACAATAATAACACTTTAATCTCTTTACTGCACTGCTCCCTAGTATCTCAGATTCATCTTCCCTGACGCACGCAGTTCATTATCCTGCTCCTCCCTGGGTAGGAAATGACGACAAATAAATAAATATACATACTCACCCTGGATGCTTGGAGAAAAGACCCAGGAAAGGAAAGGAGCCAGGGCATTAATTGATCTTCCTGGAGGTACTGCGGTTCATTAGCGGAGATGCTGGGCTAGGATGGCATCAAGTATTCATTACGGTGTTTTTCTCTTCTGAACTTTTCAAATCTTCTGGAAACGTGTCGGTAGCTCTTAGGAGGGAACGTGGAGACTGCCCTGCAGCGGATCCGCCTTCCGGGTCTGCTTGCTTTGCTGTGACAAGGTATTAGGTGCTCAGATCCTCTTCAAGTCCTCGGTGGCAAAGTCCCTGAATGTGGGTTTACAGAGTTTTGGTTAAATACCCGTTTGCCTCGGTGCTGAGCGCACCTCCAGGAGCAGAATTTGGCCCGCCAGCGGGGTGGGGGTCATTCCCCAGGAGAAGGCATGTACCAGCCCTGCCATCGCTTGGGCTCTGCGATGGGGCTGTGTGCTTGTGGGGCATCCTCATCACCCACAGTTGGGGGAAGGCTGTGGCCAGGCCTGGCCCTATTGCCCCCCCAACCTCAGCTGTGTGAATGCCTCAGTCTCCCTTCATTCTAGAACGGGTGTGACAGCCTCCCTTGCCTCAAAAATCAGATATAAAGTGCCGTGCCTGTCAAAACCCACCGCCCGGAGTGATGGCATCTGCTTGTTGATAACAGAGCCAGTGAAGATGGTGAATGCTGAAATGAGAGAGGGCTCTGCCCCCGCCATCAGATGCCACGGTGGTGCTCACATCACACTCTGGATCATGGAGTACTTGACCTCTGTGGTGGCCGTGATTGTCCAGCTGGCCAGGCTTTAGGTCAGGCTTCTCCCCAGCATGCAGAACTCTCTCAGGGCTGATGCTGTGAAGGTGCCATCTCTGTTCCCCTAAGTCTCCCTTCCCAGCTAATCAGCAGCTCAGTATTTCCTTCAATACCTAACAAGAGCCACTCCTTTATTCCACTATTCGTTTTTGCTGATGAGCAGAGCAAAGTGTTTAAAAACCAGGAGGTTTTCTAAAGCCTGACCCTTAGAGCAGCTGCAGACCCACACAGGGTGCTGGAGCCCTGCCCAGACACACGGGCTGATCTGCTGGAGACTCCCAGAATTAGGAATTTACTTGAAAGCCAAGCGATGGTGGGACAGCGTCCTCTCCTGTCACAGCTCCCCTTCTGTTCGCTGAAATCACCACTGCCTTGCAGTAATCACCGAGTATCGGGAGAGAGTTTCTCCTGCCTTGGGAGAATATTCCTTCCCATCGTAGAAAGAGCATCTAAAAATAGGTCTTCGATTAGCACCAGAGCAGCGGAGGTGCTTTCGCCTCTCCCACTGCGCGCCTGAGTCTAAGCTCACGGGTAAATTTGCAGACGTTGTTAAGTCTGTGCTCGGGGACAGGTCGGAGCTGCAGGGAAGGGTGACGATGCCTTTGGGTGTCACCTTACAGGGGTCCCGTGCCGGTGCGGTAACAGCTCGGCCACGTCTGTTAGCCACGGCCTGAGCATCAGCTGGGTTTGTGTCCGGAGCTGCCACCTTCCCAGCTCGTGCCTGCGCTGTGTGGAAACGGGACAGGTCTAGCCAGAGCTGGGCTTGGAGCTGGGGTGGTGCTGGCTTCCCACAAGAGCCTTTGCCTCGGCACAGCAGTTTGATTTAATGCGTTCTTTGATTTCCCAGCTTTGCGCTCCAGACTCTGATTCTGCGCCCGATCAGGAAGATTTAGTGTTTCAGTGTGTCTGTCTCACCACGGTCCTTCTGCTGTCCTCCTGGGAGCGCCTTGGCCCGGCTTTGCTCTGGCCTGCAAGCACAAGTCATTGGGCTTTCCCTTTTGCAGGGTATCCGTGCATGTTGGCGTTCAGTAGGACAGAGCTCAAGGGAACAAAAAAATTAAAATTAATCAGCTTTAGAAAGCACCAGTTTCTGTTCAAAGAAACGTCACAATTTCTAGGTCTGATTTCACAAAACCTGACAGGGCTCGGTGGAATTGCGTTTGCTCAGGGGATTCCAGGCTTTCTAGTGAGCTGTAAAATGTGTTATTATGAATTATTCCCATCCTGGTAGCATCGAGGAACACACCTCATGGAGCACACAGGGCTGGAGAAGCACTGTGTGCCGAGCAAGCACAGGATAAAAACTCAAAAGTCCCAAAAAACACCCAGTTTCAACACAAAACCGGAGACAGCAAGGAGGTAGATACGGGCAGGAGCAGAATGGAGTTGAGCATCATCCTCTGCAGCACTTAGTACTTTTCAGTTAACAAAGGAGGGGGTTTTAGAAGAATTCCTGCTTTTAAATGGCTGCTCCTTGACATTGCTGGGAAGTGTGGAGCAGAGCAGGCGGCTCCCGGAGGTAGACAGGCACCTGAGCAGTGGGAGCGGTATGATCAGGGAAGTTTAGTGACTGAGGAGATCCCCAGGGCATCCCCCTGTCCCGAGGACCTGCAGTGCTCTCAGCCCTCAGCCTCTCCACCTCTTTTCTCTTGGTTTTGGTTCTTTGTGCTTCCAGGCTGGAGTAGGTGCCGACTGCTGGGGTCGTGCTTTGGCTGGGGGAGGAAGGCGGTATGGAGGGAGCCTTGAATGGTTGTTCTCTGGCCCTTCTGGACAGGAAAATGGGAAAAAAAAAATTACAGAAGTCTCTGTATTGCTTACTTGTGTTGAATCCTGATTTCACTTTGAAGGTGTGAAAGGGCTGCAGTTGGAACAAGGCTGAGAGATCTTCTCTCAGGTTTTCTCCAACAACTTCCACCTCTGCCCGGGTGCTCTGAAGACAGGGACTGGGATTTGTAGAAACCGTGTTGTCTTCATCTCCGCTGCTGCTCGGCGGAGTGGGGACAGTAGCCACCAGAAACCCCCACCAGCCTCTCGATTGTCTCCTGGAAAAGGCCATTAGGCCCTTAACAAGCTTCCAGACCGGTGGTGGTCTGTGCTGCCAGTGCACGTTCAGGTTTTTGTCTCAGTGAGCTGAGCTTTCATTCTTCTTCCCCTGCAGTCCTTGTGACCCGGGAGGATGACTTCAACAACCGCCTGAACATCCGAGCCAATTTCAAGGGCTGCACAGCTCTACACTACGCAGTACTGGCTGACGACTACCTGACGGTCAAGTTGCTGCTGGATGGAGGTGAGTTTTGTAGCTCCTGCCGGCTCTTGGGCCAGGAGCACTTTTTCTGAGTAGGCCTGTCCCACAGAACTGTCAGGCTTGGACAAGGACCACGCTCTTCCATTGTCAGGATGAGACATGATTTACTGTTTGCTCTAATCTCTTTATATTTCAGTTTCTGTGTTCCCATTCATCTCCACTAGTTTTTCTCTTGTACTTCTGATGGATGTTCTCATCTCAGTCATCGAGTCTTCCCTTTCTTCCTGCAGTTCGGTGGGGATGCATCCCCTGGTCTCTCTGTTCAGTATTTTAAACATTTCTCTTTTGCAATTTGCACTCTGCTCATCTGTCATATCCCTTACGTAGCTGTGTGGCGTGGAATCGAAGAGCTCCTGCTTTACTGGGAGTGGATCTGCTCTGTAGACAAGGCACTGGGTGGATACCAGTACCCACATGAAATGGTTGAGGCTCAGGTGCAGTTGGTGCCTTGGCAATGCAGCTCTTGGGAGGATTGGTAGAAATTAGCTTGTGCAGTTTTTGGTCCTCTTAGTTAGATCACAGACCGCTTCTTCTCATGGCTCCTGCTCTACTGTCATCTCTTCTGTACTCACAGCTCTAGATTACAGGCCCATAGAGGTACTTACAGTGGGACTCGATGATCTTAAGGGTCTTTTCCAACCTAAATGATACTAAAGAGATGAAAATTCATAGGATTAGAACATAGTTTGAATTGGAAGAGACTTCAGGAGGTCTCTAGTCCAGCCTCCTGCTCAAATCCGGGTCAGCTGTGAGACCAAACCAGGTTACAAAACATCCAAGGATGGACACTGTCCAACCTCTCTGGGCAACCTGTTGCAATGCTTGCCCGTCTTCACGGGGAGAAAACTCATCAGCACTAGTGGAGGAAAAGAAGAAGATGCATTTAGCTAACAGAATAGAGATGTGCTACCATGACAACAGGTTTTTATCTTTACCCTCCTGCTGATCTTTACCAGGATGACATTTGCGTCTGTGTTGCGCCCTTATCCAGAACCGGGGTCTGCTGAATGTGTATCTACATCTTCACGGTGCTGTTAAATGAGCTGCATCTGCTGCGATGCAAATTGTTCTGCAGACCGCAGAGCTAGTCAGTAGAGTTCTGCTTTCCTCCAGGTTTGTGTCCTTTGTCCCTGCCACTCCTCCTACTACAACAATTCCAACTCTTCCCCTCAGGGTCACCTAGGGCACCTTTGAACGAGCAAGAAGCAGCGACGTTGTGCCCGCTTCCGAGCATGTGCTTGCCAGCTGCCTTCTGCCAAATGCAGCGGCCAGCAGCTGAGCGCTGGCAGCCTGGTCCCTGCAGTGGAGAGACTCTCTAGCCAGATGCTGATTTTTGCAAAAATTATAGAAATGTTGGAATCTTCATGGTGTGGGCGTCTCTGGAGTTAATTCTAGGGAAGCAGGCAGGCAGATAGTTGTAAGACGGGCTCACATAAGGCACATTCCTTAAGAAAGCAACTAAAAAGATAATGGAAAGTAGCATCTGTGAAGGCTAAACATCCCCAGAAGAGATGAAGAAAAATAATTGTAGGAGCATTGAACCTTGATACTCATCTATACCATATGCTTGTTATCTTTCACAAATAGAAAAACAAGAGTGAAAGGTTGTGATTCGATACCACTGGATTCCACAGTTAACTCTGGGTCGGGATTCCTCTCTGGGAGCCTGCCAGATACCAGAACCCTCTCTCATGGCTATAAATTAGCCTCCCAAAAAAGGAGCCACTGAAATAAACCCTATTGCAAATGGATTTAGCCAAGGTTCCTCGGGGATGCTTGCAGAGAAGGGAGCTGAAAAAGCAGGCAGCTGCTCTGTAGGCTGCGGGAGTGTGTGCGTGTGGTGACTGGCAAGTCCGCAGACAAAAACATTGGCCCCTGCGTGGTCCAGCGCGTTTGCCTGACGTGGCAGACCTCCTCCATGTTCGCAGCATGTGTAGACACTGCGCGAGCACTGAACCTGGCGCTTCCTCCTGCATCTGACCGGCTGCACGTCTGCTGCGCCGTCCAACGGCTCGTGTTCCGCGGTTCCTCCTCCAAGGGCGCTGGTGGTCAGAAGAAGCTGGCCCGGGAGGACCTCTGAGCTCCCACGGGCGTGGGCAGGGCTGGCTGTGGAAGCAGCAGAGTGGGCTTCCCCTCGCTGAGTGATGAGCTTTGAACGCACAGACCAGGAAGGGCTTTGGTGGTGAGGGCAGCGAGCAAGAGGTGCTGTTACAGGGGGGAGGCAGCGTGGTCGAAACGCTGGCGTGGAAAATTCCTCATCGCAGCAGCGTTGCGAACACATGGGAGCAGGGTGAGTCGGTGACTCTTGAGGCTGGGGAGTATCATTTCACCTGTGGGATTGGTGTGAATCTCAACAGTTTGCTCTCTAAAAATGCCTAAAATGCCAGCGTGGGCTAGCCATGGGGGCCGAGGGGCAGTCCTCTGTGACTCTGGTACACGGGCACAGCCACGGCGTCAGCGGGGACGTACCTATGTCGTGGTCACGAGCGAAGGTGCTGGCAGAGCTGCCAGCAAGAGGCTCCTCAGTCTGTCAGGTTTGGGCTGGCAGCCGCCCCCCTACCCCCTGGGGAAAAGCTGCAATAACATTTTTTACAAAGATACTTGCTGCTTGCTTCTGTCTTTGAAAGTCTCCTTGCAAGACGTGTATTATTAGCTGATTGAAAGTACCGAGGCAGCTGCTTGGTTATCCTAAGTACGGGTAAAATATGGGCGCAAAATAAGTGAAGTTGGCACTAAAGAATTTCACCCTACTGAATAAATAACTGCAAGTAGCAAGTCCAGCTCATTTTTACATCTGTCCCCTGCTCGGCTATCTGAGTGCTGTTACAATACAGGCCTTTCTTAATAGAGAGGACTGTACTTTTTGTTCAAAAGCTGTTTCTGTATCTGTACTGGAGCCACTGCCGTCTTTGTGAATGACCACTTCTGCTGCTCAATGCTCAGAGAGGCTTCTTTGTTCATGGCAAAGTGTCTCAGCTCAGAAGAACTCACTTGAATCTCAGAAAAAAAAAAAAAAAAAAACAAAAAAAAAAACGTGTAACAATCTGTAGGATTGTGTTTGAGTACAACCGAAGGGACTGTGTACCAAATCGGAGTGAAAATTCTGAATTTGTCAGCCACAGCACTAAAATGTGACGATTGCTCATCACCATTCTGTTCTTAATCCGGCCTCATGAAAATCCTTCCGGGTACAGATTCAAGAGAGTCTACGCTAAGAATGCACTTCCAAGTGAAAATCACCGTCTTGCAAAGGTCCGAGCGTGTCCCAGTGCCGAGACCCTGGGAATAGCAGATCCACCACCGTGAATCTCCACCTGGTGCACGATGTGAAAGTCCTTGTAGGATCCTGAGGCTGAGTTTGCAACATCCTTCAGATTAATCCGTATTCACCAGCCCCTCCACAACACCCACTTACCCTTTGAGGTCATAGTTACGATGAAAATTTATGACGATTTGCTTGCTAAATACGTCTGCCCTCTTTGTCAGGTGAATTCTTCTGAGCTGGTAGTGTTACAGCAGACCCTTCCCTTTCCTTTCAGTGAGTTTGGCACGCTGGAGTTTGATTTCACGATTGGCGCCTGACACAAGGTTTTCACCGCATTGACCGGGGGTGTTCCCCTCCTCCTGGTTCCATGCTCTTAACAAAGCGTCGGTCCTTGCGTCCTTGTTAGAATAATCTGCGATGAATACATGGCTGAAGGTCTCAGAAGTGGAGATCGAACACCTTTCACAGTGCGCCTGCCCCGGGCCCTTTGTGAGGATAATTTCCCCATGCAGTCTGCCATTGACATCCGCGCGGAGGATGTCTCCTGTTTGCTGACATGGAACAGGCTCCCCTCGCTCCCTCCCTTCCCCTTCCCTACACCTGCCTTTTTACTAACTGTCCATTTACTCGCCCAAACACTTCCTTCGCTCGATGCCCTGCCCTCGGGGCCAAAGCCATTAACTGCCAAGCCCCCTCTCTGCTAAAACAACTACCCTGTTGTGCAGCGCTGTTTTTTTTTTTTTTTTAAGGGAAGCCCCCGTGCACTTGCCCCTCACCCCACATCCCTGGCCTTTTGTGGCCCATTCAGTGACTCGCTTGACCCCTCCAGGACCTTATCGCCTTGTGGTCAGCATGTGTGTGCCCAGCGGACCGCGAGACGAAGTCGCCGCGCTGTTGTCCTTTTGGGCGGTTGTTGGTGACATTTCACAGTCTCCTGACCTGAGCTGACACCATAAATATCTGGTTTTTTGGGGGAAGGAGTGTGGGTGGGAGCTCACAGCCACAGAGTGCACCAGTTGCTACTGCAGGCACGATCGATTCGGGGGGCTTTGTGTTTGGCTTGGAGGAAGGAAGGCCGCGACTCCAGCTCGCTGATGATGGAAGTCTCTTTGGTTTAGAGGGAGCTTTTATTACGTCAGTATTTAAATCGGCTACATGAAATAGCTGGTATTAAAAGGTTCAGCTTTCTGCAGGCAGTAGGGTAGTCGTACCCTATTAATAACCACACTGGGTGTCTTCATACCTAGAGTGGGTGTATTCCTGCCCTCCATCCTCCTCGTATCTCCACACATTTGCCGATACTCAAACCGAACCTCGCTGGTGGCCCACATTGCTACCAGCCCTCTTGCCCTCCAGCAAGTCTCCGCAGGAAATTTAGGAGCGGGATTGAGTTCAGGACTGGCTTGAATTCAGAGCTCAGCCCTTGTAGCTGCGTGGGTGCAGCAGCGCAAGCGCTGCAGCGGGCGCGTTCCGGGTGGTGATAAAGGCAGCAAAGACACAACCTGCAGCGCTTTTATTTCCCTGCCTAGAGGCCTGTCCGCTCTCACACTCCCGGCACTACTGCGGATGAGGGCTGGGGGGTGTTTTGCAATGGAATGAGTTGTGATTCGTTTTGTTTAATTTCTTGGGACATGCTTGTGTTCTTGGGTTTTGGGTTGGTTTGGGTTTTGTTTTTTTTTTTTTTTCACTCCTGTGTGACAAATACACAGCAGGGGTT